CGGAGCTCTGTGTTGTGTTGTTCGGGATCGCAGTTGTTTGAGCAGTTTGCTTTATGCGTCGTACGCTGGCAGAACGCTGGTCGTACACGAGTCATATGTTTCCTTTCGCCCCTAATGGGTTACTGCGGTACCTATGCAGTTGGAATGTGTCTCGAGACACTAAATGGTCGGACTTGGTTGTCAATAGCTGCGCTTGAAAATGGTGCATTTTTTGCATTTTGCAATGCAATTTTATTGCCGATACCGTATTGGTAGATAGTGTCAGAAGTTGGCCATTTGATGCGTTGTCAGACGCTGTTGCCTTAGTGCTGACAAATTGATGGGCGGCGTTTGTGTTCCTGTTAAGAAACGGATCTCAATATAAGGTGATTCAGTGGTAGGAACCCGAATGCATTCGTTCAGACTTTCCATTTTATGGGGATGCACTGTTTCATGAGCAAGAACGAGCATGGCTCTGGTTGAGCGAAGCGCAATCGATATTTGTTACCGTGTTTGTAGGCTGTGAGCACATTTACATCACTATTAATCTCCACGCACCAGCATTATCTGAACTGCTTGAACCCATAGAGATCTTATATACATATAAGATCTCTATGGGTCATATGGGCTATGTATATGTTGCAGGCACTTTAGAAAATCAGTCATTTTGTAAAATGCCTAGGCATTTTACAAAAAGACGGCTGTTTGAAAAATGACTGAACGCAACCAGGCTTTTTTCAAAATGGCTAGCCATTTTACAAAATGACTAGGCATTTTGCAAAATGCCTGACCAGCATGGAACGTAGATCCCACTACAGATACTATGGCCAACAGTTTTTGGACGTCTTCCTATACCCTATAGGTACGTGTTCAGCCTGTAGCTGATCGATTTGAAGCTCTGTGATGACGACAATGCTGAGTAACGACCAGGTTGACGCACGGACGCTCACTCACAGCCCACGGATCAACAAAGAAGCCCAGTGTGGACCACCCCTCCCCTCCTCAGTTGACTGGACAGCGCTCATTGGCTCTAAGGAACTTCAACAAGTCTACCCTAGGCCTAGTCCACACAATTGTTTACAGTATTATTGTTCAGGTTTTCTTCCTAACTTTTCTTTGGAATAAAAAAGCTCTCTGATCACAATGAATGTTAAAGCAATAATTAACAAAACACGATTAATTTTGTTCTGTGGCAACAGCTTTGAGTACCTACTTGCATGATCCCAGTTAAAAATATCAAGCTCCACATCGGGAGAATCATCAGGTCGCTTGGCGTAGGACGAGAGCGTTGGTTTCAGAAGACACTAACGCCTATGTAAGTGTGTGGGATCGAATCCTCGCGACCTCTAATAGTTTTACAGATACAGGCCGGCATAGGGCCAGTCGTTTGTTGACGCTCCAGATCGATCATTTTAAATCCAGAAGCGTCGCTGACGTGGGGGTTGGAAATGTCGCGGGCCTGCATTTCTCAAAATAGAGGTAGGTATGGACTTCCCACTGCTGGACTCCTCTGGTCATAATGCTGGACTCCTCGGTCCACCTACACGCTACCAAAACGTATATAATTAGGTACTCGTATCTACAACACGCTGCTCAGTCATTTTGTAAAATGGCTAGGTATTTTGTAAAATGCCTAGGCATTTTGCAAAATGACTGGAGAGTCAGTCATTTTGTAAAATGCCTAGGCTTTTTGCAAAAAGCCTGAAAATTCAGGCATTTTGCAAAATGCCTAGGCATTTTACAAAATGACTGATTTTCTAAAGTGCCTGCAACATATATAAGGCATAGGCGTCGCCAGACATTTTCGGTTGGGGGGGCAAAATCAAGTTTTGTGTTAAATCTTGCCTTTCCCCAGCCGTTACTCACTCGTTTTACATATCATTCGACGCGCAATGGTGCGAGGAATCCGATGGTGACAAAGTTTTCCTTCTAGCTATAGCATGTATTTTTTTACAAAAAAAATCAAAATTTTGAAATTTCTGGACAAAAACCAAACAAAAATGACCGTTAATTACAGTGGCTGCGATTGCCGACGCACTGCAGAGGGCCCCTGTGCAGACTCTCGTCGCTCAAGTCATGATCATTACCCAGAAGCAGGTGAAAAACGCTCCATTTGAATCGGATCACCTCGCTAAAACCTCCATTCACGCATGCATGCCGAGGCTTTACGTGAAATGCATAGGGCTTATCCCAGCCGCCGATTGTAGCTAAGAATTGGGCATTCAGCGGAGACTGAGAGAGAATGTCGGAAGTGTGAATCGGAAGTACATCATTCATCCTTGCTGCAGTGAGAAGAAGTGTTTTGTTCACTCGAGTGTGAACAAAAAGTTTCTGGTTTTTCGAGTGAAGGGAAGCGCTGCAAACGAGACCAAAAATATTTAACGGAACCAAAAGTTACGCACGGCATAGCGGCAAGGGATCCCTTAGAGATAGGATTGCGACTTCCAGGCCATTTCAGGCCACTCAGGGTCAGTGTGGACTCTCAGAAGCCTGCTTAGGATCCCGGAGATCGGCGTGGGTCACCCCAAATATTTACGTGTAGGTATGTGGTGCTTTAGGGCTTTCCGAGCCTAAGGTGGGCCCGGAAAGCCCTTTAGGGCACACGAGCTTTCAGAAGCCAGTGTGGGCGGCGGGCGGAAAGAGACTAGGCCCAGGGTGAGCCTGGAGCCCTCGAACAACAGTGTGAACCGTCGGGGTCTGTGTCTAATCCTTAAGGACCCTACGTTGGTAGGGACATAAGAAACATGTGTTGCGACCCTCAGAGGGACACGTGAGTTGTGACCCCTCAGATGCCGGGTTGGGGTTAGTAAAGTCTGTCCCCTCAAAAGTTCGGCTGAACTATCATAGGCCAGTTGAGGTTTTCAGAAATTTTCGAAGGCATCCTCAAAGATTCGTGTGGCCCTTCAGAGGTCTACGTATGTATAATGTCCTCAAAGATCCCTGTATGGGCCCTCTAGAGAACATGGACACCAGTGGGACTCTCAGAGGCCGGTTTGGGCCCTCCGAAAGCTTCTTAGAGCTAAATGGAGCTCCTTAGGAGCCTGTGTGAAAAGCAGGCTCATGAGCCCTGCGGCACTTGAACGGTACTTGTGCCTGTCGCAGACATTTGACGAGAGTTGAGAAAGGCCCCGAAGATTTCGTGTCACGCTTTGAACGAAAATTATGTGTCAGCACTCCAAAATTTATGAAAATCAGCTACAAAATGTAATAAAGAACCAACTAGGAACATGGCATGAATCATGGCATTGACATTTCCGAGTCTGGAGTCGGAGTCTTGAAGATTTTGGCGACTGCGACTCCGACTTTGGTTTGAACTGCGCGCACGCTCCAACCTATAGCCTAGGAGTTCTATAGCCTTGGCTCCAACAGAGTCTGACCTCACAGGCATTCTCAGAAAGGTACCCCCATTTTTCCCCGACTCCAAAATCTCATCGGATCTGTATCGATCTCAGGGGGTGCCCGGTCCGAGGTTGGGGGGGCAAGCTGCCCCGCTTGCGACGCTAATGATATAAGGTCTCTATTCTTGAACCTACACTTCATTTGCTAAATGTCGGGGTCGTCGTCAACCTACGGTCCGTGGCCGTTACGTTTGGCCAATGACTAGATTTCGTACATATTAACTGGTTCATATAATCACAGCATGATGCCCCGAACAATTTTTATTTGATTCACTGATAATGCATGCATCCCAGTGGCCAGTACCCCACAAACTGAGAAGTGAGACTGAAACCGGACAACTCGCTTTTCGAGGTTCAAGTTCATTATCTTTAGATGGTATGTTATGGTAAGCATTTAATGTTTGAAGAAAATGGTCAGCGTTAGCAGTGCTAAGTGGGTATTATGAGCTTTCAGTTATTTGAATATTTGTTTCAGCTATTATTCTTATGATATCTCCTGTCAATTTTACGCGGAATATCCAGTATTATCTTATACAATCGCGGTAACTACATATTTTCTGCCGGTTACTGTTATTATCATTGATTCGTAATATTTCGCTACGAACGTGGCTCGATTCACCTTGTAATTATATTGGCATTCCAGATTTTAAGAATAAACATCTTTTTATGCATTCCAATTCCATCAAAATGTCAATATGCAAAGACAAGGTTATAAAAACTGCAGCAGTTTTGCGAGTCGAAAATAGCTGTAAAATAGGCTTGTATAACTTCAACAACAGTGCGCCGAAAAACGTCTAAAAACGCGTAAACAAAAACTAAGATGTAAAAAAATAACTGCACCCGCCGGTTTTTGGTCTTGTATTGCAAGTGCATGTGAAGTGATGACGATAGCTTGGATCGTTGAATTTAGTTATCTTGCAAGTTAGAACAGAAGGGAGAAGGGGAAAATAAGTTTATCGCTTCACATGCACTTGCAACACAATACCAAAAACTAGCGTAAATTACGGACTCGCTTTATGAAACGAGGCCCTGACCTAATTAGTCGTCAAATAACACTTCAAATATTGATAAGAGGACGAAAGCACATGCACAACATACTGCATTAAAGATAACTTTTGATCGGGGATGACGTTTAAGGATTATAGCCAAAACTAGCATTTACCGTAAAAGAGGGATACACCGCAAACATGAGTTCACAAAAAAGTAGGTAAATAGTTTTCAGGTGCCATGCACGGCACCTGGCAATTGGCATGATAGCAGCCGAACATTATTTGAATTTGAATGGCATTACTATGAATTGCAGCAGACTGTACCTAATGCTAGCGACGTTACAATAAATGGCGCACTAGTGGCAAATGCTATAACAAACACAAACGTTCCTATTATGATAGGACACGGGGAAACACGATACAAGTAACAAGATACTAATATTTCGACAGCATATTCAGAACTATATCCCGTCACTTGAAACTTTGCTTAAAAAGCATGTAAGATCCATGCTTGGATATGTTAAGTTACGGGTGCGATTAAAACTTAGAAAAAAAACATCCGTCTATGATCTATGTAAGCTTTTCAAAGCTAGCTTAGCAACTTATGACTTCTTGTAAATCAAATTCAACATACCCCTTGTGACGCAAGTACTTCCATCATCATCCTTCCTGTCCTATTTCTGGGTGTTTTTCTTCGCGGAATATTTTGTGGAGCAATATTGTTTGCTTCTTGTGTTGACCGTCACTTTCAAACAGTCAATAAAATATATTACTCAAACTGTCAAAACCATATGAGTTAAGTCGTTTCAAATGGAAACATTCAAATTCCATTGCTAATTACTTTTACTGTCAGGAGTGACGGAACTGAGGAAAGGCGCTGCAGTCACACAGGTGATGCATTTTATTACCTAATCTCACCATCAAGACCACCACGTGTTAACGTCATGTCTAGCAACGTGAATTTAACGTGAATATTGTTCTTCAGCAAATTATTTGGTTTTTGATGTAAAAGCCACGATGCATACAAGTATATGGATCCTACACCATTCAGCATCTGCTTTGGGATAAGCTCTGGTACCTATTGTCTTTTGAGCATGGTTAGCAAGGTAGGGAGAATGAACAACCTTTTACTCCTCTTATAGGTTGCAAAATGGATATAATGAAAATCAACAGAATGTATTTCGATATTGCATCGTCATCAGAATAAGAATAGCCAATTATGAGGCGTAACAAAGCCAATTCACACGGAATAGGTACTTACAAACACGTGCATCATTTGATATGGCTCTATAGGGAGGTTGATATGACACTCGTTGAATAAGATCAATCAAGGCGTACAATCATTCAAATGCGCGTCAACATTTACGGAATATACCTACACAATGAAACATCATGCAAATATCGAAATACGATTGATCGCGAGGAGGCGCGACTGCCGAACATATCAAACTTGTGAGCCGGGCCAGATGTGAGGCGGGGCTGCCTCGCCTTACAAGTGTGACATTTCCTCGAACCGGCCGGGCAGGGAGGACTTAACATGGCTGACCTGGTGAGGTATTGGGTCAGTTTCCACTGGTGCAAGCGACATGCGCGTTCCGGGCTGCCTGGTCGCTGCCGCACCAAAAACGTGCACAGAATCGTGTGTACCATAATATGACAAAACTAGGGGAAACTAAAAGACCCATTCAGGAACGTTTTTAACGAGCACTTCAGGGACGCCAAAATACCGTAACTGGGTTTGTGCCTGTGGATGATTTGTGAAATAAACTAAACTAAACGAAACTAAATATTATAGGCAAGGACAGTCAGTGCCGCGGCCGGTTTCATAGATGGTGCGACTATGTATAATGACCATGGATGAAGGATTCCTAATCCATGTGTAGGCTATGGACTACAGTGACGCTGTTTTGAACCCTGACGGTGGTTTGTTCTATTTTTTATTCCGTCCTTGGTTCTCTCCCAGTTTCCCGGAGGTGGTTCTTTCCAGTTTGACTCCGATGGCAAATCTTTCCGGTCTATCGGAGACGGTTCGTTCGGCTCTATCACAGGCGGTTCTGTTCCACCTGGACCCGAGGTGGTTCTCTCCAGTCGAATCTCGGATCGCACCGGCCGACAAACTGCTGATATTGCACGTTCTACTCCTAGTCCTAACCGACCACGGCTACCGCCTACCGGTTTCGTCCAGTCAATATTCAGTGGCTCGCTTATCTCCACATTGAGTTTCATGTTTCCAATTTCAAATGAACACCTTTCTATTTATGTATTCTATTATATTTCTTATTCTTTTCTCTTATATTTATATTTCTTATCATTCTATTTCTACATATTATATGTTACCTATATTCATTTCGTCTTATAATGTTTTGTAATTTGTCTTACTTTCGGATAAATATCAAGTCTTCAGACTATTTTCCTCTGACGTAGCTGGCGATCCAAGACTTGCCATATGTTCAGTTGCTTATCATCAGCTGGTAAGCATGGTTTTCTATCAGAGCCTATTTTAAGGGAATTTGACTGGGGGGGCAACCTGGAAAATTGTCTTTAATAATCCATTAACCCTCGCCCGTATTGGTGTTTCCAGTAGCGAGCGTATAGGGGGGGGGGGTCCGTTGGACCCTCCCCCTTGCCGTTTCGCCCCTGATCGAGCTAGAGCTTCGCGGAAAAAACGACCGTGTTGCCCGTGATAAAAGGAAGCCGATTATACCTAATTTTAAGGTCCTAGGTCATCGGTTGACCTTCCAGGTCAGGTCATTGAACCAAAAGTCGGGAAAATCGGGACCTGTTAGAGCGTCGTAAAGAGTGGCTGCTATGGTTTTTCGGGGTGCTGATCACGAATATCATGTTAGTTATGATCATAGATGATGTCTTCATGCATTTAGGCCAGGTCAGGTCAGGTCAGGTCAACCAGTAAGGGTTTTGCCGGGTATTCGTAGTAGGTGGCAACCGCCTCTGACAGCTTCGTAACATGTTACGAAGGCACCAGAACTACTTCGTAAATGGTCAAATGGTTGCTTAATTCGAATTCAGCTCCAAAAACTAGCCTAGAAAGTAGAAACATATAAAACTCGAAAATGTGAACCGAGGTCATCAAAGGTAAATGATCTGACCTGACCTTCCGGTGATCTTGACACCCACCCTAATGCATGGGAGCTACATCATATCCCATGTTTGAACGTTTGAAACCACGAAAAGACTGCAAACGCGCGGCTAATGCGAGGCGACATACGCCGAATCGCGACCTCGGCCAAACATGGTGCCATGGTGCTAGGCCGCCGGTGCATCTGAAAGAACTGTGGTGCCCCTGACAAGCCTGAAGTTCCAACGACAGGCCCGTGGTGCCCCTGACAGGCCCATGATGCCTTTGCGAGGCCAGTGGTGTCCACGTGAGGCCGGTGGTGCCCCTGGGCCCTGACAGGACTGTGGTGCTCCTGACAAGCCTGGAGTGTCCCCGACAGGCACGTGGTGCCACTAACAGGCCCAAGGTGTCCCAGTCCCTGCGAGGCCGGTGGTGTCCCTGCCAGGCATGTGGTGTCCATACTAGGACTCTGGTGCCCCTGACAGGTCCGTGGCGCCCTTGCTAGGCCTATGGTGCCTCTGGCAGGCCTATGGTGCCCCTGGCGGGCCTGTGGTGGTACCCCTGACAGGCCCAAGGTGGTGCCCCTGCGAGGCCGGTGGGACCCCTGGCAGGTCTGTGGTGCCCCTGGTAGACCTATGGTGCTCTTGCTAGGTTGATGGTGCTCCCAACAGGCCTGTGGTGCCCCTGACAGGCCGGTGGTGCCCCTGGCAGGCCTGTGGTGTCCCCGGGCCCCAAGAGGGTGGGGGGTCATGACCCATATGACCCACCCTTAGATACACCACTGGTCATTACTTAGGTACAGACTGACTCATTTGACATCCATTGCAAAACAAGTCACAGTAGTTACGTAGTATGTTTGTCACCCTGTTCCTTTATGCCCATTTTTATAGTGGGCAAATCTCGACGACTAGGGGGGCAATTCTGTTGAGTGCGGGGGCATTTGCCCCCCCCCCCCCAGTTAACATGTTAAAATAGGCCCTGTTTTCTATAATCAGCTTGTAGACAGTGACGCCATGTCAAAACCACCAAGAAATTGGAGACGAGCAAGAGTGGATTTCCTGCGTTTTATTAGATACAGGTCACTACCCGTACCGTAAGAGACCTCGACCCTTATAAGGTGCACTGAGCAGAGGACTTCCTTCCTGGAAATTTCTCCCGTTTCCAGAGGCGGGTCGCCGTGTCGAGACCGGCCGGGCCGGTAGTCAGCAGTGTATTGATCCGCTCCGAAGCTGCGCAGCGCGCTGCACTTCATTTCAGCCAGGGATAGGATGGGACACGGTGTGCGGGAATCTTGCATCCTGTCGTAGGTTAGGGGGATAAAAGCTGACGGAATTTTCCGTTAATGGGACTCGAGCATCGTGCAACGGAATGACCCGGTGATCGGTCTGGAACTCTGGACTGTTGAAAAAGTGTACACCGTACAGTGCCTTGAGATTCATGGTGCGTTCATTCATTCATTCATTCTTTTAGTGCGTTTATTCGTAGTTGGCATTTCTTCGCAAATAGTATTATTTGAGAAAAAAAAAAATGAAATGTAAGTACAGAAAGCCACATGTTATGCATTATGTACGGAAGCGAAATTCGCTACTTTTTTATTGGTTTAAATGTTGGGGAATACCTGCTCCCCACCCAAGTGCATCCAATAACCATTCCAGTTATAAACCTTACATGATCCGTCCGTCAAACTAAGGCCAAACTCAACACATTCACAAGTTACAGCCACATAGCATTGAAGGTTTCATTTAACATTAACTATCTTTCGATCTTAGCACTGAACACCATAGCTAATAATAGGGCACCATGGGCCGTATTCATGTCGATCATTTTCGTAAGAATTTTCTTAAGTTTGACCTACTTCTTAAGTAATTTTTTTATTCACGTGAATTCCGTCGATAAAAACTTTAGAAGTGTCGACGTGAATACCAAATTATACTTACGAAAGAAAATCGACTTACGAAGTCGACGTGAATACGGCCCCATATCTCGTACTTACTCGTTTCAGTTCGACGAACCTCCAAAACCAATGTCTCGCCGGGAGTCCTCTCAGCTCTCACAGTGATGCACAACACTGTCAGAGGTGCCCAGACCTCGCTCGGACCGAGAGGCGGCCGCCCTATCCTCTCTCGGAGTCGGCCCAACTGAGACTGGCGGCTCTCACCTCTCAGATACCGACCGGTCACGTGATATCACACGCGGTCGGTGTCGGGCTACTAATGGCGGTCACGTGACGGTCTAGTGGAGAGGAGATATCTGAGAAGTGAGAAGTGCCCCCCCCCCTCCCCACACACACACAAACACGTCACAAACACACAAAAGCATACGTACGCAGTACGCACTTTCTCATTGAAGGCAATAACACATGCTTTACTCTCCAAATCATATCAACGTCACAATGACTACAAGAGAATGTTGAATCTAGCACGGCCGACACCAATTGACCTTTTATTCTGACATCAACGGTTGTCATCGATATTCGATGTACTGAGGTCACATCGTGTGAAAGACCTTCGAGTTATAAAAAGATGAGTTTGAAACATTTAGCCAAGTGCCTCTTCGTTGTCCCGGTTGAATTCAAATATTTATTCTGGGAAGAAGCAGACGGTGCAAATCTGACGAGGTCTGACGTCAAAAGGCTCATTCTGTTGTTTATGTATTTTAAGTCGCTAAAAATACATACATTTGTGCCTACTGCCACCAATTTTATAACCTATTTTGCTAATGCCCTACAGCTACTCAGCAAGTACAACAGTGCTGACTAGGTGCACCTCGCTCCTCAGATTAAATTGATTAATGTAAAGGTTTGGTAAAGGTTTCCTTTTTCCCGCTCCGTTTTCCAAAATACTATAGCTTGCTCCAACAGTGTGCTGAATGTATTGTATTGACAAAGGCAGACAACTCCACATGGGCGTGGCTATTCTGTGTCTCTAGTCACAGAGAGTTAAAAAGAAAACATACATCAGGGTAAAATGGGAATAAAATTTACCGTCAGAAATCACACACCCACGCACACACCAGGCACTCAATGCACACGTCATACGCAATCACATCACCGACAATAACAGCCTCTCGGAACCCCATCAGAAGTGCGCCTTTACTGCTTTCTTAAAACTGTCCGGGTCGAGATCTAAAAGGGCAGCGGGCAGCT